CCTTGCATCTGATTTGCTCGGAGTGAAGCTCCTCATGATGTTCAGGCAGAGGTGTGGACAGCTTTCTCTTAAAGGCCCTCAGCTTCTCCAGTGACATGTTGATGCCCTTCTCACATCGCTCCCAGTTCTACACACACACAAACACAAAGCAATAGTTAGACCAGAAACCATAATCTCCGACATGCCTATATACATACATACACAGTTTAGACAGATTACTTAAAGAGCCTGTGACATCAAATTTCTGCAATAAACATGAATGCATTTTTGGAAAGATCCTATTAACAACATATTGAGAAATAAATTTCACTCTGATGAGATGAACAGTTGTTGAGATATTTGCATGTGCAGTGACAGGAAGTGATGTCAAAGGGGAATGTCTGAGCGTTGCTGTGATGACTAACAACCCAGACTGTAGAGAAGATTCTGATGTTTCTTTAGATTATTGTGAGTCTCTATCAGAGATGAAGAAAAGTCAGAGTTCAAATAATAATGTTTCAATAAACAAAGATCAGAGAGTTTCTTTCTTAAAGAGTTCCCCTTTGATGTCACTTCCTGTTTCACTTTGGCTGAGCAAAGTCAAAAGAAAATATGCCAGTTGGGACAAAATGGTTAAAATCATGTGTATTATGCCATGTTTATTAAATTTAAAGGCTTTTTGTATTTAAAGGATATACATGTCAAAGACACTTTAATATGCAGTTAATGAGCCGTTACTCAATCATCATAAAGAAAAAAGATGACAACACAATCCCACAAATTACAGCTATTTTTACAGTCTGATTACAAACATGGAGCAGATATCTTAATATTTTTTTCTTCTTCTGCTGCCTTTCATTTTATTTGATTTGTATTGTTTTATTGTATGAAATGTTTCATTTATTTTTTAATGAAATGAATAAATTAATGAACATTGGATGGTTAGAAATTAAACTAAGTGTCAAACCTGAAGCAAGAGTCATGGTAGCAAAAAAAAAAAAAAAAAAACAGCAACAATAGCTGCCTGTGTGAGAACTGAGGACAGTAATTAGGTTTGTAAGGAGATGCTGCTAAAACCCTGTGTTTCTGTGAAACTTTAAAGCTTAATTTAGAAACACTCTGCAGATGACTAGATTATATTAGGACACGGTAATGCACCATCACTGCTCATCTTCAGGGCTGCAGCTGCAAYGTTGCATAACTGACATCATAACTTGGCTTCACTGCCCTACATGAAGCAGGCGAGTCTCAGACGGGCCAGTGCCCTTCAATGCACCTCCACACTGCAGCGTAATGGATGCACGGCGTAGCGAGCAMCATCTATCCCAAGAACAACCCGCTTTAGGACATCCACTACTGCAACACGATGGTAATTATGGTATTTAAATATTAAGATGGAAGCTTTGTTACTTTGTTGAATTCGCACCTTAAGCAAGCCGTGCAGCTCCCTCCTCTGCTGGTCCAGGTGGTGGTGGGCGTGCCTCCACCTCTCCTGTATCTCCATGAGCTCGGTCTGCAGTGTGGACTCAGACGGCACGTCGGCTGACAGCAGCAGGCTCCTGCCGGCCTCGATGGTCAGGATGTAGACTCCCTGCTGCCTCTGGAGCGCTCGTTCTCTCAGCTGGAGGAGCAGGGACAGAGACAGAGGGTAGAGTGGGTTCAGGTTTACTAAGGGACGCTAAGGTTGGGTGGGGGGATTTGAAAACATCATTTAAACCAGGTGTTCTTAACCTTTTTGACCTCGGGGCCCAATTTGTTGAACATAAAGTGGCACGAGGCCCAGTCACACATTACCAATGAACGGATCAAAATGATAATTATTCTGAATTTTGGTTTAATTTTTATTGTATTTCCATTAAAACTAAATTAAATACACTTACAGTTTAAAAGTAAAACTCCTGTCAAATAATCACAAGACATGATTATGACAAACATTTTTTTTTGTAACCTGCCCATAACAATTATTTGAACAAATACAACGGTCAGTCAACAGACCACTCAGGCTTATCGACACAAATCTATCTATCTATCTATCTATCTATCTATCTATCTATCTATCTATCTATCTATCTATC